ACAGATTTTTGGGAGGAGGAGGAGGGGGAGGGGGGGTGTGGGGGAGCTTTCATCCCACAGGAGGCACCGACGCGGCTCCCCGCGCGGTTTCGGGGTGAGTTTCGGGCCTCGGAGTGTGGTTTGGGCTCTCAGAAAACACGGATCAGACCCCCCCAAAAAATGATTCATCAGATGGTGTGGGTTGCAGAGGGGCCACCTGGGAAGGAGGGAAGAGGGAACAGCTCGTTTTTCAGGTCTAGGGTTGGTTCCCTGGTTTCTGAGCTGCCGTGGGGGAAGGAGAGAAGAGGGAACAGCTTTTATTTTGGGTTTAGGGTTGGTTCCCACATCGCAGAGCTGCCACCTGGGAAGGAGGGAAGATGAAACAGCTTGTTTTTCTGGTCTAGGGTTGGTTCCCACATTTCAGAACTGCCATTTGGGAAAGGGAACACCTTTCATTTCGGGTATAGAGTTGGTTCCCTGGTTTCTGAGCTGCCACCTGGGAAGGAGAGAAGAGGGAACACCTTTTATTTTGGGTCTAGAGTCGGTTCCCACATTCCAGAGCTGCCATGTGGGAAGTAGAGAAGATGGAACAGCTTGGATTTCAGGTCCAGAACCAGTTCCCACCTTTCAGAGCTGCCATCTGGGAAAGGAGAACACCTTTTATTTTGGGTCTAGAGTCGATTCCCACCTTTCAGAGCTGCCACCTGAGAAAGGAGAACACATTTTCTCTCCCTTCTGGCGTTCCTCAAGCCCAGAGCTGCCCGTGCAGCGGCTCCTGCCGGGCTCTCCCCGATTTCAGGGCACCCTCAGCCCGCGCTGCTCTGAGCGCTGGCACCAACCTGCCCTCGAAAGCGGCTTCAGAGAGAGCCCCACCCCGCTTAGCTGATGTCAGGACGCCGCTCAGAGCCACGAAAAGCTCCCCGGGAGGCTCCTTTGGGAGCCAGGCGGGGGAGGACGATTCTCCCTCTCGGCCCAGCGCCGGCTTTTTGTCGCGTTTAATTAAGTTATTCACAGCCATTACCCTCATTAGCGCCTCGAATATCAAACGGCTCCTTTATTAACGCCTTTGTGGGGATAATTCGCGCGGATCTCTGCTGGGATCGGAGGTCACCTGGAGGAGCTGCTGCTGATGATGATTCTTCCCCGCATTTTGGGCCTTTTTTTTACGACCATAAAAACATTTTAATTCACGCCGGGGAGGGCCGGGGGCGTTCAAAGGCAGCAACATCTGCTGCGGGTGAGCCTGGTGGGGGGGTGGAACCCGCCCCGAGAGCCACAACTGAGGGTTGTGGGGGGGGAGCGGGGGCGGCTCCGCCTCGAGGAGGAGATCGGGGGGGAGGGGGATGTTCCTACCCCAAACCCCTCCTTTTCATCCCCTTCTCAGGTACGAAGATGAGATCAACCGGCGCACCGGGGCCGAGAACGAGTTCGTGGTCCTCAAGAAGGTGTGGAAAGGGGGGCTGGGAATTGGGGGAGTGGGGAGGGATTTGCCTTCCCCCACTGAACTCACGGGCGGGGTCGGGGTGTGATTTTGGGACACCCCGGGCTGGGCCCAACCTTCTCCCGAGGGTGGGAGGAGAAGGGAAGGGATCCAGGGAGAGCTCAGAGCACCTCCCATGGCTTGAAGGGGCTCCAGGGAGAGCTGGAGAGGGATTTGGGGGGGACGAGGGGACAGCACGATGGGATGCTGGGAACGAATCCCTCACTGTGAGGACGGTGAAACCCTGGAATGGATTTCCCAGAGAGTGCCCCTGGATGCCTGGAAGTGTCCAAGGCCAGGCTGGATCCCCCTGGGATAAAGGGGGGGTTATCCCTGCCCGTGGAACGAGATGGTCCTTACCGTCCCTTCCAACCCAAACCCTCCCACGATTCCACAATTCCAGGAATACCAGACCTGGAAGCAGAGCCCCTGGTGTCCTGGCTCCCCTTTGGCTCCACCAGAAATCCCTGGTTTTCCCTCCTTTAGGACGTGGATGGTGCTTACATGAACAAGGTGGAGCTGCAGGGCAAGGCAGACTCTCTGGCAGACGAGATCAACTTCCTGAGGGCGCTCTATGAGGCGGTGAGGACCCAAAATTCCCCTGGGAGCTCCCCATCCCAGGGCTCTGGGACCCAAAATCCCCCTGGGAGTGTCCTCACAACTCCTTCCCTGTGGATCCTCCATCCCAGAGCTCTGGGACCCAAAATTCCCCTGGGAGAGCTCCTTCCCTGTGGATCCTCCATCCCAGGGCTATGGGAGCCAAAATTCCCCTGGGTGCATCCTCAAGGCTCCTTCCCTATGGATAATCCTGTCTCAGGGCTCTGGGGCCCAAAATTCCCCTGGAAAACTCCTTCCCTATGAATCCCCCCATCCCAGAGCTCTGGGACCCAAAATTCCCTTGGGAGAGCTCATTCCCTGTGGATCCCTCCATCCCAGAGCTCTGGGACCCAAAATTCCCTTGGGAGAGCTCATTCCCTGTGGATCCCTCCATCCCAGAGCTCTGGGACCCAAAATTCCCTTGGGAGAGCTCATTCCCTGTGGATCCTCCATCCCAGAGCTCTGGGACCCAAAATTCTCCTGGGTGCATCCTCAAGGCTCCTTCCCTATGGATCATCCCCCATCCCAGAGCTCTGGGACCCAAAATTCCCTTGGGAGAGCTCCTTCCCTATGGATCATCCCCCATCCCAGGGCTCCGGGAGCCGCGCCTGGGGCCGTGCAGCTCCGGGGGGAGGGTGATCCCATCCTTTTGGGAAGGGCAGAGCAGGAATGGGGGTGGAAACTGCAGACGGAACGCCAGGAGGGCGCTCGGTGGGGGAGCGACCCCAAAGCCGGGCCATTCACACCATTAACCGGGCCATTAACACCGCTAATTAACGCCAACGCCTCGCCCTGTCCCCCCCAGGAGCTGTCCCAGATGCAGCAGCAGGTGTCGGACACCTCGGTGGTTCTGTCGATGGACAACAACCGGAGCCTGGACCTCAACAGCATCATCGCCGAGGTGAAGGCGCAGTACGAGGACATCGCCAACCGCAGCCGCGCCGAGGCCGAGGCCTGGTACCAGAACAAGGTGTGGGGGCACCCCTGGGGGTGATTCCTGGGGGTCCAGGGGGTCTCAGTGCTGGCTGAAGGGTCTGGTGTGGGACACCCACCCTCCCAGGGTGCTGGAGGTGCCACCACAGCGAGTTTGGGATGACCCCAGGGGCGAACTCTGCCCTTCCCACGGGGGATTGTTATGTGTTGTTTTTGTGTCCCTCCATCCCTTCACCCCGCTCCTGGTGCCCTGCAGCCCCCCTGGCACTGCCCTGGGCACCCCTGGGGGTGATTCCTGGGGGTCCAGGGGGTGTCCATGCCCTGCCCTCGGGCTGGCTGATGGGTTTGGTGTGGGACACCCACCCTCCCAGGGTGCTGGAGGTGCCACCACGGCGAGTTTGGGACGACCCCAGGGGTGAACTCCGCCCTTCCCACGGGGGATTGTTGTGCTCCCCCATCCCTTAACCCCCCCTGGCCGTACCCTGAGCCCCCTCAAGGCGTAACCATCCCCCCTCCTTCCCTCCCCCCGCCGCAGTACGAGGAGCTGCAGGTCTCGGCCGGGCGCCACGGGGACGACCTGAGGAACACCAAGATGGAGATCTCGGAGATCAACAGGATGGTGCAGCGGCTGCGCAACGAGATCGACAGCGTCAAGAAGCAGGTGGGGGTCAAGAAGCAGGTGGGGGTCAAGAAGCAGGTGGGGGGCGGGGGGGAGGGACCCTGCAGGGCACGGGGGGAGGGTGGGGGAGGTTGGGCAGGGTGGGAAG